TGCGCTGCTCTGGTTCACCAGAAGCGGCTCAGTCATGCTGGCCACATGACCTGGAAGCTGTATGCCGGCTCCCTTGGCCAATAAAGCGAGATGAGCCCAGAGTCAGCCACGACTGGACCTAATGGTCATGGGTCCCTTTACCTTTACCTTATCTGCTCTTAAGGGCAGCCAAACTGCAGACAGCAGACTGAGGTCTGCTCCAGGGGTCAAAAACCAATGGGAAGCTCTGGACAAGACTGGCCAAAATGAACCAACAGGCATGTGAGCTTCCTAGCAGATTCTGCACCAGGTCAGTTAATGGAAGAGGAGCTGCCCGCTAGTTAATTTCCCCACTTCAGACAGTCTTAAGCCAACTCTTGCCTGCATTTGTTGCGCGGGCGAGCAGGAGACCAGGGCAGGGGGCAAATGGGCATGCGCAGTTCGCGCTTCCTAGAGCTGCCACTCAGTGCGCTGGGCAGCTGCCTTGCATGCAGAAGATCCCAGGTTCAGTCCCCAATGGTGTCTCCAGGTCGGGTTGAGAAAGAAACCCTGGAGAACTGATGCCAGTCCATGCAGGCAATACTGACCTATGGTCTGACACACAGCATAAGGCAGCTTGCTATGTCTTAAACCAACAACATGCAAAGGAAGTCCGCTTTAAAGAAAAAACAAAGTGTTCAAAGATCGTCTCGCATTTGAATCAGAGAATTGCAGAGTTGGAAGGGGCCCCCAAAGGTCATCCAGTCCACCCCGTTGGAATGCAGGAATCTCAGCTAAAGCATTTGGTTTGAGCGTCACAAATTAGTTCTCCATTTTCCCGTCACCAGAGCAATGGGTTGGGGTAACAAACAGATAGGTTAGGCCAAGGCAGGGCTGGCACCAACAAGGCAGCGCGGCGGAACTTGAACCCGCAACCCCAGCTGCCAAATTGTGCTCACCTGCCTTGCAGAGCAACATCCACCAGCAAAGCGACGGCTGGGCAAACCGGCAGCAAAACCTTGTGCACGTGAAGCCCCTTGAGAACATGAGGAGAGGCTGGCCAAAGTGGGGCAGCCCATCTCCTCCAGAAGGCCTGTTCTCAAAGGGGGCAACCGGACGCCCCGATGGGAAACCCCAAAGCAGGACCCGAGTGCGAGAGCAGCAGCTCTCACTGCCTCTGGCAGTGGACTGCAGTTCCACCCACCCACCGGCCTCAGTTTCCCCTCCCTGGCAGAAGCATCACCTGCGCTGGGTCTCCCCGGGGGAAATCTACGCCGGATCCTCAGGCGAGCCTCCCAGCCGGCAGGGAAGCCCGAGTCTCTCCCACCACCGCGTCCCGAGTGTGAGAGAGAGGCAGGGAGGAAGGGCTGTTTATGCGCTCAGCCCTGTCACTCAGCAGGGCCGTGACGTAATGCTCTGCGCTACGCCCTCGTCGCGGGCTCTGGTTGCCAGCCAACTCCCTGCAATTAAGGCTGCCCAGCCCAGGAGCAAGAGTCACGAAGAGGCAGGCAGCAGCGAAAGCCGGTCCCTGGAGACACACCGTCCCGCCCTGGCCCACGGCCGCTGCTCAGAGGGGGAGACGGACCGAGCCTGCAGCTGGGCAACGGAGTCAGCCGCAGAGGGGCAGGAAAGGGGCCCAACCTCTGTGTTTCGTCCTTCCGCTGGCATTCCGTTGACAGTCTGAATGGCAGAGTTGGGAGGGAGCCCCCCAAAGATCATCCAGTTCAACCCGCTAGAATGCAGCAGTCACAGCTAAAGAATTCCCGGCAACCTCTGCTTAAAAACCTCCAAGGAAGGAGAGTCTACCAGCTTCCGATTCCATTCCCCTATCGAACAGCTCTTGCTGTCAGAAAGTTCTTCCTGATGTTTAGTCAGAATCTCCTTTAACTTGAAGCCACGGGTTCGAGTCCTACCCGCCAGAGCAGGAGAAAACAAGCTGGTTCCCTCTTCCATGAGATATTTGAAGATGGCTCTCGTATCTCCTCTCAGCCTCCTCTTTCCCAGGCTAAACATGCCCAGCTTCTTCAACCGTTCCTCATCAGGCTTGGTTTCCAGACCCCTGATCATCTTGGTCTCCCTCCTCTGCACACCTTCCAGCTTGTCAACATCCTCCTTAAGCTGTGGCGCCCAGAACTGGACACGGGACTCCAGGTGGGCATCTGAGCAAGGCAGATGTGCTGGACCACAAATCCCATCAGTGGAGGCTGATGGGAGGGGCAGACCAAGAGCATCTCCTCCAGTTGGCAGAGGAGGCAGCCATAGCTACTCACCAAACCCTTGGTCTAGTTATCTCCCGCTTGGACTACTGCAATGCGTTCTACGTGGGGCTACCTTTGAAAGTGATCCGGAAACTGCAATTAATCCAGAATGCGGCAGCTAGACTTGTAACTGGGAGCAGCCGCCGGGACCGCATAACACCAGTCCTGAGAGATCTGCATTGGCTCCCAGGACGTTTCCGAGCACAATTCAAAGTGTTGGTGCTGACCTTGAAAGCCCTAAACAGCCTCAGCCCAGTAGACATGAAGGAGCGTCTCCACCCCCATCGTTCAGTCCGGACACTGAGGTCCAGCGCCGAGGGCCTTCTGGCGGTTCCCTCACTGCGAAAAGTGAGGTTGCAGGGAACCAGACAGAGGGCCTTCTCGGTGGTGGCACCCACCCCGTGGAACACCCTCCCTTCAGATGTGAAGGAAATAAGCACCTATCCTATCTTTAAAAGACATCTGAAGTTCAGGGAAGTTTTTAATACTTAACGCTGTACTGTTTTTAACATTTTATTGGGAGCCGCCCAGAGTGGCTGGGGAAACTCGGTAAGATGGGCGGGGTATAAATAATAAATTATTATTATTATTATTATTTGGGAGAAAAGAGACCCGTTCCTAGTCCTGCCCCCCTGATATCCTTGCCACTGAATCACAGAACAGCAGAGTTGGAAGGGAACCCTAGAGTCATCTAGTCGAACCCCTGGCAACGCAGGAATCAATCTGGAGATGCCAGGACTGGTACACACAGCGAGGGCAGGAGAATGGAAATCTGATGGGTCCCTCTCCAAAACCACCCTGGCCCACTCCCCTCAAATCCAAATTCATCAAAAGCCCCCCCCCCTTGCATAGTATTTCTACAACTCTCTCATTGTCCTTTTCTCTAAAAATCCTGTTCTTACAATGGCCAACCAGGTGTCCGTGGGACGCCCACCTCCAGGGCCCCCTGGCATCCAGATGGATAGGGGTGCCCCCTTCACCCCTTCCAGCTTCTCCTCATGCCAGCCTGCTGCCACCCTGGGCAGTACAATCGCCTCTTTCGGAAAACCCTTCTGCGGTTGCCAGGTCTTCTGGGGAAACCGTCCCAGGGTAGCCAGCCAGCCAGCCAGCCAGCCGGTGCCGTCTCCTCTGCGGGCATGAGGATCAGGTGAGCGTGGGTGGCAGGGAGCGGCAGCCAGAGCGGGGGCGTGCGAGAGAACGTGGCTCGCCGAGCACTGGAGGGTACGCAAGCCAAGGCAGAAATCACACTCCGGGGAAAGGAGTGACTCAGAGAGGGGCCCTGGCAAGGGAGGCCGGCCGCTCCAGAGCCCGGGCGGCACTGCTTTGGCATGGCATGCAGGCTGGCAAAGGGCAGGGCACTGCCACAGACTCGTAGGGTTGGGAGGGACCCCATGGGGTCATCTAGTCCAACCCGCTGCAATGCAGGAATCACGAGTGGAGAACCCCTGGCAGATGGCCGCCCAATCTCTGCTAAAATGCCTCTGAGGAACCCCACACGAAGACGAAGCCTTTCTGAGCATCCCGCCCACAAAGCTTTATGTATTAATTCATTCTATTTATTCCATAAAATCTATGCACAACTTGATTGTAAATCAACACACACAAACACACACAGAGCTCAAAGCCATGCACGAAAAAAGATAAGGCAATAAGATGGCCCATGTGAAAAAGTTAACAGCGATAACGTCAGACTTTTGAAAGGTTAAAGCAACACTAGACTAGTAAAGGTAAAGGGACCCCTGACCGTTAGGTCCAGTCGCGGACGACTCTGGGGTTGCGACGCTCATCTCGCTTTATTGGCCGAGGGAGCCGGCGTGCAGCTTCTGGGTCATGTGGCCAGCATGACTAAGCCACTTCTGGCGAACCAGAGCAGCGCACGGAAATGCCGTTTACCCTCCCGCCGGAGTGGTACCTATTAATCTACTTGCACTTTGACGTGCTTTCGAAGTGCTAGGTTGGCAGGAGCAGGGACCGAGCAACGGGAGCTCACCCCGTCGCGGGGATTCGAACCGCCAACCTTCTGGTTTAAGCCACATTACCACCTGCGTCCCTAACACTAGACTAAAAACCTATTTAAAATCGCACACAGTTTCTAAGCATCTGGGTCGGCCAGGATCCCAGCCCCTGACTCCAGGGGGGAGCAGAAAGACCCTCCCAGCTAAGTTAAGCAGAAACCAAATGTATGCCATGCCCGCCACATTCCCCCTCCTTCCCAAAGCACAGCCCCCCATGACATTCCTGAGCCCATCCTTCACATTTTATGATGATCCAGGGCGATTTCAATCAGAGATTTTGCTGCTGTTTGACAATCTCTGTTTGCGCTTGCCCTCAAAGCCACCTATTCTGAAAATCGGGCGGGGACGACCGTGGCAAAGCAACATGGCCAAGGCAAACAGCGAGCCAATGCCCTGGTCAGACTCTATCTTCCCAGGGACTCTTTGGCAGGTGGAATCCCAGAATCTTATAGAGTTGGAAGGGACCCCCAAAAATCATCTAGTCCAACCCCCCTGCGATACAGGACACTTTCTGTTCAACGTGGGACCCGCGATCCTGAGATCAAGAGTCTCGCGCAAGACCAGCTGAGCTATCCCGCAACAACCTCCGGAAACAGCCTTTGCAAAGCAGGTGATTTGGGTGACCGTCTTGCAGAATAAGTTGCGTTTCTCGGTAGAAGCGCATAGGGACGCACTGCTCTCGGTGCATAAGGTTTCTTAGGCGAGGTCAGAATTTGCCCACCTGGGTCCCTCTCGAAGTTTGCCCAGTCTTCCCCTCGCCCCACGCTACCTGCCCTCGATGACCGTGATGATGTCATTCATCTCGATGTGGAGCTTGTCCGGCTCGTCGAAATCTTGCAGCGCCCGCATATCCGTGGGCTGCGCCTGGGGGAGGAAAGCAGAAGAGACGTGAAGGCTCAGCAAAGAGACCACCCAGCCAAAAGCTTGCAGATCTGCTGGGAGGGAAACTGCCCTGGCCCCCAGCCAAAGGCGAGGACCTGAGGGACCCGAGTTCGAATCTCCACTTAGCCGCCGATCAGCTCACTGGGCCAGTCACAGTCTCTCAGCCCTAACTGACCTCGCAAGGTCGTTGTGAGGATAAAACTAGGCTGAGAACCACACATGCTATCTTTGGGGAGAGGTGAGATAAAGATGCGAAAATACGAAATGCAATACAGTGGTACCTTGGTTCCCAAACACCGAAAACCCAGAAGTAAGTGTTCTGGTTTGTGAACGTTTTTCGCAAGCCAAACGTCCGATGCGGCTGTCGGCTATTGTTTCCAGGGCACCTGCACCAACCAGAAGTTGCACCTTGGTTTTCGAACATTTTGGAAGTCAAATGGACCTCCAGAATGGATTAGGTTTGGCGCTTTTGTTTTTGCAATTTATTTTGTGTTTTTGTTTTTGAGGCTTTTTCGGTTAATTTGTTTTTGTGGCTGTGTGGATTGATTGATTGACTGTGTGTGATTGATTGACTGCGGAAATGGATAAAAGCCCTCCATCCAAACAATAACTATCATCAGTGCAGGTAAGAAAGAAAAGAATTTTTTTATTTTTATCATCTACAATACTGTCTTATTTGTTTTATAGCACAGTACATTGACTATTGCTTTCATTTTATGGATCAATGGTCTCGTTAGATAGTAAAATTCATGTTAAATTGATGTTTTAGAGGTTGTTTTTAAAAGTCTGGAACAGATTAGTCTGTTTTGCATTACTTTCTATGAGAATGCGCACCTTGGTTTTGGAACGGACTTCCGGAATAGATTAAGTTTGAGAACCAAGGTAATAATAATAATAAATAATAAATTTTTATTTATACCCTGCCCTCCCCGGCCAGAGCCGGGCTCAGAGCGACTAACACCAGTAAAAACATAATGGGGGGGGGGGGCAATTTAAAATACAGGTTAAAATGCAATTTAAAATGCAGCCTCATTTTAAAAGTAGCCCATAGATCAAAACCATAAGGGGAGGGAAACATAAGGGTCAGACTGAGTCCAAACCAGAGGCCAGGCGGAACAGCTCTGCTTTGCAGGCCCTGCAGAAAGATGTCAAGTCCCGCAGGGCCCTGGTCTCTTGGGACAGAGCATTCCACCACGTCGGGGCCACTGCTGAAAAGGCCCTGGCCCTAGTTGAGACCAATCTAACCACCTTGAGACCTGGGACCTCCAAAATGTTGTCATTTGTGGACCTTAAGGTTCTCCACGGGGCATACCAGGAGAGGCGGTCCCGTAGGTGCATGGGTCCTAGGCCACATAGGGCTTTAAAGATCAAAACCAGCACCTTACTTGACCTCTGTGGTGCCCACACTGAGCATGTGCAGAGGTAAGCATGGATGAGATGGGATCCCATGCAGAACCCCTGAAGAAGCCCCCTGCAGCATTCTGCACCGCTGACTTCTCTGGAGCTTCAGGAACACTGTAAAATAAATAGAAACCTGTGGCTTTGCCTCTCTCTCATCACTAGGTGGCAGCAAGATGAACCCAAATATAGAGAGCTTCCAAGGGTTTCTGAGGAATCATAGAACTGTAGTTCGGAGAGAACCCAGTGTCATCTAGAACTCGCAATCAGAACCCCTAAACAATCCTTGCCAGTAGGCTCATCCCACCTCCGCTTAGAAACCTCCAAGGCAGGAATTCCAGTTGTCTTCCTTCTCTGAGGGTCCATCTGCTATCGAACAGCGCTTAATGCCAGAAAGATCTTCCTGATATTTAATCGGAATCTCCTTCCTTGTAACTTGAAGCCATTGGTTTGGGGCCTAGCCCCTGCAGCAGCAGAAAACAAGTTTGCTCGCTTACATCCAAGGTTCCCCATTCCCCATGGATTTCCCCCCTAAATTGATTTTTGAATTCTGAATTTATTGTTATTCACGTTTTATACTGTATTTCATGCTGTTTTTGTTGTATCAATTAAGTGTTTTAAATCTGTTGTTAGCCGCCCTGAGCCCGGTTTTCTGAACCGGGAAGGGCGGGGTACAGTGGTACCTCGGGTTACATACGCTTCAGGTTACAGACTCTGCTAACCCAGAAATAGTGCTTCAGGTTAAGAACTTTGCTTCAGGCTGAGAACAGAAATCGGGCTCTGGCGGCGCGGCAGCAGCAGGAGGCCCCATTAGCTAAAGTGGTGCTTCAGGTTAAGAACAGCTTCAGGTTAAGTACGGACCTCCGGAATGAATTAAGTACTTAACCTGAGGTACCACTGTATAAACAAATTATTATTATTATTATTATTATTATTATTATTATTATTATTCCTCTACACATGATTTAGTTTGGGCGCACAGGTTAACACTGATTTTCCCAGCTGTTATTATTTTGTATTCCTCCCCCCCCCAAAAAAAACCCCCTCAAAACACCTCTGGCAAATACCTCCAGGAGGAAGTCACGCAGGGCCACAAATGTCGGTCTGTCTTCCGGCTTGTGTGCCCAGCATTGCAGCATGACGTTGTAGATGTCCTGGGGACAGTCTTCTGGCCGCGGCAGCCGCTCTCCCTCCTTGTCGATCTTGTGCAAAATCTAGGCAAAGGAAACAGGGCTCAGGAGAGCAAGCCGGAACTGGCCCACCAGCAAGCCTCCTCATTGAGGACTAGGAGCTTGGTGGCAACGCAGAGAGCGACGCAGGAGGTCCAGCGCACATAATTTAAAAACAACAGCACCCGTTTGTGAGGATTTCAGCTCTCATTCATGAGGTAAGGTGAGGCAAGAAGACCAAACCTCTCCATTCTGAAGGAAATCAGCCCTGAGTGCTGACTGGAAGGACAGATCCTGAAGCTGAGGCTCCAAGACTTTGGCCGCCTCATGAGAAGAGAAGACTCCCTGGAAAAGACCCTGATGTTGGGAAAGATGGAGGGCGCAAGGAGAAGGGGACGACGGAGGACTAGACGGTTGGACAGTGTTCTCGAAGCCACAAACATGAGTTTGACCAAACTGCGGGAGGCAGCGGAAGACAGGAGTGCCTGGCGTGCTCTGGTCCAGGGGGTCACGAAGAGGCGGACACGACTAAACGACTAAACAACAACAAGGTGAGGCACCGCGCAGACCAGGCCCCCGCGATCGTACCTGACTGCCGTTGAGGCCAATCCAAGGCTCCTGTCCGTAGGTGAACATCTCCCACAGCGTCACGCCGAACATCCAGGTGTCGCTGGCGTGAGAGAAGGTGCGGGTCTTCAGGCTCTCAGGGGCGCACCTGGATTTGCAGGTGTGCAGGGGGAAAGAGAGAGATGTATCAGTGCAATCTGAAAGGGGGAGAGGCAGGTATAACTGCAATTCAAAACAATGCTGGGTGGAGAATGAGATGGGTTGGTTAGCCCCAAGATGGAAAATGAGCGAGGTCTCAGCTAAAGAAGAATGGCAACTTAAGCTGACAGAACATGCGCAGCTTGCAGACTTAACATACAGAATAAGTGAACAAGAAGAACATAGGTTTAAAGAAGAATTGAAAACGTTTATTGACTGAATGGGGGAGGGGAATTGTGTACACTTCAAAACGTTGGCAGCATTAAGAAATATTCAACAGTGCAAATACCGTATTTTTTGCCCTATAAGACGGACCAGACCATAAGACGCACCTAGTTTTTGAAGGAGGAAAACAAGAGAAAAAATATTCTGAATCCCAGAAGCCAGAACAGCAAGAGGGATCGCTGCGCAGCAAAAGCAGCGATCCCTCTTGCTGTTCCAGCTTCTGGGATAGCTGCGCAGCCTGCATTCGCTCCATAAGACGCACACACATTTCCCCTTACTTTTTAGAAGGGAAAAAGTGAGTCTTTTAGAGCAAAAAATACGGTAAGTTTTAATGGATGCAATAATGGAATATTGAATGGTTTAGTTTTTGTAAAATATGAAGGGATCTATGATATGCAAAATGAGCCATGGAAAGAGAAGAAGGGAAGTCGTTGATATTTTAAGGATGTTTAAATGAGTATTTTGAATGGTAAAACAGAAAATTTAATAAAAATTATATACAAAAAGGGAGAGAATGAGATGGGTTGTGTTCAGCTAGGGACACTCCTAAGAAGGCAAGAACAACATCAGACCAGTGGCCCATATAGTACGGCCATCTCACAGGTAAACTGGAACATGAGATGCAAAGACACTCTTTGGGTCACCTTCCTCAGGACATCCATTATATAGTTATTTGATTCTGGGGCACCATCTGGGGGAGCTGGGGACCAGGGTCCCCCCCAAAAAAAACATTTTCAAGGAAATATTTTTGCTGCTAATTCAGCCTGGCTTCGTTTCCCTTTCTGTATATAATTTTATTAAATTTTCTGTTTTACAATTTAGAATATTCATTTAAACAACCTTAAATTGTCAATGACTACCCTTCTTCTCTTTCTCTTATTCTATATGTTAAGTCCGCAAGCTTCACATATTCCATCCGTTTAAGCTGCCATTTTTCTTTGGTTGGGACCTCGCTCGTTTTCCAATTTGGGGCTAACAAAACACAAGCCGTAGTAGCGGCATACATAAATAACTTTTTCTGACACCTGAGAATTTCCGTCTGACTTATTTCCAACAAAAAAGGACTCTGTTTTTTTTGTTTTTTTGTTTTGTTTTGGAAAGTACTTTTAAACATTTTTTTCAATTCATTATGGATTCCTTTCTGGGTTTTGTGGTGTGTGTGTGTGTGTGTGTGTGTGTGTGTGTGTGTGTGTTGCACTGCTCAACTGCATCCTGCCATTTTTAGCCTGGGTTTCTGCTAAGCCAGCCTTTTAAAAAAAAGTTTTAAAAAATTTATTTATACTCCGCCCTTCCTGGTTCAGAAAACCGGGCTCAGGATGGCTAACAACAAATTTAAAACACTTAATTAATGCTACAAAAACAGCATAAAATACTGTATAAAACGTGAATAATAATAAAATCAAAAATCAATTTAGGGGGGAAATCTATCCAATAAACATTAGATGATCACCAGGGCTAGCTGGCTAAATTAGTCCTATTTGGGCCAGCGAGGAGACCAGGGGAGAATTAGCTGCGGGATCCCAGAGCGGGTAGTTTTCAGAAAAAGGGGAGAGGGAGGGAAGGAAAGGGAATAAAAGATCAGGCGAAGTTCAAATTGAAAGCCAGGCGGAATAGCTCTGTCTTACAGGCCCTACGGAAGGAGGTTAAATCCTGCAGGGCCCTGGTCTCATGGGACAGAGCATTCCACCAGGTCAGAGCCACCACTGAGAAGGCCGTGGCGGAGGATAATCTAACTTTTTTAGGGCCCGGGACCTCTAAACTATGATTATTCATGGACCTTAAGGTCCTCTGCGGGGCAGACCAGGAGAGGCGGTCCCATAAATACGAGGGCCCTAAGCCAAAAAGGGTTTTAAAGGTCAAAGCTTTGACGTGGCGCAGGCGACTCACCAGGCAAAGGGGACCTTTCGATGCTCCTGCATGACGTAGTGGTCGTCGTTCTTGGGCAAAGCCCTCATGAGCCCAAAGTCTCCGATCTTGACCAGGTCGTTGGTGGCCAGCAGGATGTTGCGGGCAGCCAGGTCCCGGTGGATGAAGCGCTTGGACTCCAGGTAGGCCATGCCGCGGGCGATCTGGATGGCATATTGGCAGAGGGTGGCGATGAGGAAGTGCCCCTGGTTCTTGCGCAGCCGGTCCAGCAGGGAGCCCAGAGGGGCCAGCTCCGTGACCTTGGAGGCGGGGCAGAAAGACGTCACGCACGGCGGAGGCCGGGACCCTCGACTCGGGGCTGGCGATAGGGCCGCTGCCCGGTTACAGAGACCGGAACTGATTCATAGAACGGCAGAGTTGGGACGGGACCTCCAAGGCTCATCAAGTCCAACCCCACAGGAATTACGCTGAGTGAGTTAGAGGGTGGTGCTGTTAATGGCCTTGTGTTCAGTCCCCCCCTGCACTGAAATGGGTTGGACTAGATGATCCCCCAGGTCCCTTCCGACTATTAATTAATTAATTAATTTGCCACCCATCTGACTGGGTTGCCAGTCTGGGCGGCTTCCAACAAAATATTCCAACACCAAAAAACCTCCCTCAAACGTTTCTATGTGTTATGTACTGAGTTGAGTAGGATCCAAAATGCAGCAGTCTGATTGGTCCTAGAACAATAGGATTCAGAATGCAGCAGTCTGATTGGTCCTAGAACAATAGGATTCAGAATGCAGCAGTCTGATTGGTCCTAGAACAATAGGATCCAAAATACAGCAGTCTGATTGGTCCTAGAACAATAGGATTCAGAATGCAGCAGTCTGATTGGTCCTAGAACAATAGGATCTGGAATGCAGCAGTCTGATTGGTCCACAGGAGCCGCCCAATCCAGCTCCAGGTGGAAGTGAATCCGCAACCTGATTGGCCTCCCGGAATTAGCCAATCACGTGGGGCCTATTGTGTAAATAATGGATATAAAGCAGACATTCTGGGGGAACTCCATTCCTCCACACCACTATGAGTTGAATAAAGAGCATGAAATCCACTCTTGACTCCAAGTATATTTCAGAAATAAACAGCTATCTGACTTTTAGAAGACATCTGAAGGCAGCCCTGTTTAGGGAAGTTTTTAATGTCTGATGTTTTATAGTGTTTTTAATATTCTGTTGGAAGCCACCCAGAGTGGCTGGGGAAACCTAGCAAGATGGGTAGGATATAAATGATAAATTATTATTATTACAGTGGTGCCTCGCAAGACGAAATTAATTCGTTCCGCAAGTCTCTTCGTCTTGCGGTTTTTTCGTCTTGCGATGCACGGTTTCCCATAGGAATGCATTGAAAATCAATTAATGCGTTCCTAGGGAAACCGCCTTCAGACCAGGTCCGGGGACAGTCTGTCCCCGGACCTCTTCTGAAGGCTGGGGGGGGACAAGGGCTTTTCTTCCCACCCCCGGCATTTTAAAAAACCCTGGGACAGCGGAGGACTTCTCCGCTGTCCGGGGGGATTTAAAAGCCCCTGGGAAGGCAGGCAGGGGGGACAAAGACTTTCGCCCCCTGCCCGCCTTCAGAAGGTGTCCCCGCCCCCCCTCCCCGCTTCGGAACAGCTTTCCAAAGTGGGGCGGCTGGGGCAGGTGTCCCCACCCCCCCCTTCGGAACAGCGTTTTAAAATGCTGGGGGTCGGGAGCGAAGCGCTGCCGACCCCCAGCATTTTAAAATCTCCCCGTGTCCCGGGAAGATTTTAAAATGCTGGGGGTCAGGCTGCCGACCCCCAGCATTTTAAAACCTTCCCGGGACACGGGGAGATTTTAAAATGCAGGGGGTCGGCAGCGCTTCGCTTCCGACCCCCAGCATTTTAAAACCTCCCCGGGACACGGGGAGATTTTAAAATGCTGGGGGTCGGCAGCGCTTCGCTCCCGACCCCCAGCATTTTAAAACCTCCCCGGGACAGGGGGAGATTTTAAAATGCTGGGGGTCAGCAACTAACGCTTCGCTCCCGACCCCCAGCATTTTAAAATCTCCCCGGGACAGAGACTTCTCTGCTGTCCCTTGGAGATTTTAAAATGCTGGGGGTCGGCAGCGAACGCACCGCTCCTGCCCGCCAGCATTTTAAGATCGCCCTGGCAGGCGGGGGGAAGGCAGGCGGGCGGGAGCAAAGACTTTTGCCCCCCGCCGGCCTTCAGAAGAGGTCCTCTTCTGAAGGCCGGCTGTGGGCGAAAGTCTTTGCTCCCGACCGCCAGCATTTCCCTATGGGCTTTCGTCTTGCGATGCAAGCCCATAGGGAAATTCGTCTTGCGAAGCGCCTCCAAAACAGAAAACCCTTTCGTCTTGCGGGTTTTCCGTCTTGCGAGGCATTCGTCTTGCGGGGTACCACTGTATTATTATCCACCACCAGCCCCAGCCCCAAACACCGCTTTTCCCTCTGTGGCTGGAGCCCCGAAGCGGCGCCTGTCCTCAGCCTCTCCAGAAGGGAGCCTGCTCCTCACCATCTTCATGGGGTTGGAGAGGACCACGCCGTAGAGGCGGATGAGGTTCAGGTGGTCCAAGGAGTGCATGGCGTTGACCTCGCGGATGAAGTCGTCCAGGGCTTCCGGTTGGCTCAGCACGTCCGTCTTGAGGCATTTGACAGCCACGTTCAACTGGCGGAAGAAGCAAGAGAGGGCAGCGCCAGGTTAAGCTCTGGGCATAGTGGTTGCTGCGCAATCTTTAACCCAGAGGGCGGCCAACACGGTTGTTGCGGATGACATTGGAAGAAGAACCAATTGTTAATTTGCTGGAAGCCACCGAGGGAGGCTGAAGTTGTGCCGTTCAAACCTTGCAAAATCTACATAAATGTTCTGTTTGTGTAGCTGGTGCCTGGATTCTATTGGCCGGTCCAGGATAAACCCACAGGTGCATCAAACCCCAATATTTACCCAATGGTAAAAAAGGTAAAGGACCCCTGAATGGTTAAGTCCAAAGGCGACTATAGGGTTGCAGGACTGTCTCTCCTGGTCTGTCTCGCAGAGGATCTTAAGGCCCATGAATAACCATAGTTTAGAGCAGTGTTTCCCAAACGTTTTTGGGCAACGGCACACCTGTTTACTGAAAAAAAATCTCGCGGCACACCACCATTAAAGCCCCGCCCCGTGACGTCAGCGCGCAGCGTCACGCCGGGAGGGACGCACAAAAGTGAAAGTTTTTTCCCTCCCCCTTGCTGGGGAACCTCCAAGCTTTGGGGGTGGGAGGAGGCAGCAGAGCGAGGGACTGAGGGACGGCGGCAACTGAGGCGGCGGCGGCTGAGGCAGAGCTGGGAAGGGGGTTTCCAGGGGACACGGCAGCTCCTCGAAAGGCTTCTCTCAGCTGCGCTCAATCCGCCTCGGAGAGGATTTCCCCTCCGGTCCCATGCGTTCGTTTGGGGCATCGCTCCGGCTGCTCCCTCTCCCGCCGCGCAGGAGCGATGCCTCTCTCTGGCTCTCCCTCCGCGCAGGCTGAGGGAGGGAGGGAGGGGCGCGTGTGACCCGTCTCTGCTGGGAGACCAAACCCAGCGAGGCAGAGTCGCGCGGAGGCGCCCAGGCAGCGCTGCCGGCTGCGAGGAGGAGCGCCAGGCAGCAGCAGGAGGCGCGGCCTCTCCTCGCCGCCGCCGCCCCGCCTCTCGCCGCCTGACTCGCCCGCCTCCCTCCAGGCATCTCGCGGCACACGAGGCAACGTCTCACGGCACACTCGTGTGCCGCGGAACACCGGTTGGGAAACACTGGTTTAGAGGTCCCGGGCCCTAAGGAAGTCAGACTATCCTCCACCAGGGCCAGGGCCTTCTCAGTGATGGCTCCGACCTGGTGGAATGCTCTGTTCCATGAGACCAGGGCCCTGCAGGATTTAACCTCCTTCCGTCAGGCCTGTAAGACAGAGCTATTCCGACTGGCCTTTAATTTGAATTCAGCCTGATCTTTTATCTCCCTTCTCTTCCCTCCCCCTCCCCTTCACCCGCTCTGAGACCCCACAGCCAATTCTCCCCTGGCCTCCTCGCTGGCCCAAGTAGGACCAATTAGCCAACTAGCCCTGGTGACTATCTAATGCTTATTAGATGGATTTCCCCCAAATTGATTTCTGAACTTGTTATTCATGTTTTTATAATGTATTTTATGCTGCTAGTAGAATTAAGTGTTTTAGATTTGTTGTTAGCCGCCCTGAGCCTGGTTTTCTGAACCGAGAAGGGCAGGGTATAAATAAAAATTTATTTATTTATTTATTTATCAATTAATTATCTTGCTTTCAGGCCGAGGGAGCCGGTGAATGTCCAGAGACAGCTTTCCGGGTTATGTGGCCAGCAGGACTAAACCGCTTCTGGCACAACGGGACACTGTGACGGAAACCAGAGCGCACGGAAATGCCGTTTACATTCCCTATTTATCTACTTGCTCTTTGACGTGCTTTTGAACTGCTAGGTTGGCGGGAGCAGGGACCGAGCAACGGGAGCTCACCCCATCACAAGGATTCGAACCGCCCACCTTCTGATCGGCAACCCCAAGAAGTAGTTTAGTCCTGCTGGCCACATGACCCGGAAAGCTGTGTGTGGACAAATGCCAGCCCCCTTGGCCTGAAAAGCGAGATGAGTGCCGCAACTTCACAGTCGCCTTTGACCTGACTTAACCGTCCAGGGGTCCTTTACCTATTTAGCCAACAGCACCATACTGGCTGGACATGGGTGGCGCTGTGGGTTAAAGCACAGAGCCTAGAGCTTCCAGATCAGAAGGTTGGCGGTTCGAATCCCCGCGACGGGGTGAGCTCCCGTTGCTCGGTCCCAGCTCCTGCCAACCTAGCAGTTCGAAAGCACGTCAAAGTGCAAGTAGATAAATAGGTACCGCTCCGGCGGGAAGGTAAACGGCGTTTCCGTGTGCTGTTCTGGTTCGCCAGAAGTGGCTTAGTCATGCTGGCCACATGACCCAGAAGTACACCGGATCCCTCAGCCAATAAATCGAGATGAGTGCCGCAACCCCAGAGTTGGTCACGACTGGACCTAATGGTCAGGGGTACCTTAACCCGAGGTACCACTATATGGTAAAGGTAAAGTACTTAATTCATTCTGGAGGTCCGTTCTTAACCTGAAACTGTTCATAACCAGAAGCACCACTTTAGCTAATGGGGCCTCCCGCTGCCGCCGCACAATTTCTGTTCTCATCCTGAAGCAAAGTTCTTAACCCAAGGTACTATTTCTGGGTTAGCGGAGTCTGTAACCTGAAGCGTCTGTAACCTGAAGCGTATGTAACCCGAGGTACCACTGTGCTGGCTAAACCGCCCCATCGCCTCCATTACTGCCAGCGCAGCAGGAAGCCAGAGGGAGGAAAGCCTGGGCGAAGGTGACCCCCTTACCAACTTGCCGGTGGGCGTGCACCACTCCCCTCGCCGCACCACCCCAAAGGAGCCGTCGCCCAGCTTCTCAAAGAGCATCAGGTCCTTTTCGCTGATCAGGCATGTCAAGGCCTGCTGCTGACCCTCTTCCAGGGGGGGCGGGGTGGACTGCTTGCCCAGGCCGCACTGCGCCAGGGGCGGGAAGTCCGAGTCAGGCCGCTTCCCGCTGAAGACCTGCGCGGAAGGAGAGAGGAATTATTTATCTGTATTGTAAAATTTCCCAGTAGTGATGTATGGAAGTGAGAGCTGGACCATAAAGAAGGCTGAATGCTGAAGAATTGATGCTTTTGAATTATGATGCTGGAGGAGACTCTTGAGAGTCCCATGGACTGCAAGAAGATCAAACCTATCCATTCTGAAGGAAATCAGCCCTGAGTGCTCACTGGAAGGACAGATCCTGAAGCTGAGGCTCCAAGACTTTGGCCACCTCATGAGAAGAGAAGACTCCCTGGAAAAGACCCTGATATTGGGAAAGATGGAGGGCGCAAGGAGAAGGGGATGACAGAGGACGAGATGATGGGACAGTGTTCTTGAAGCTACCAGCATGAGTTTGACCAAACTGCGGGAGGCAGTGGAAGACAGGAGGGCCTGGCGTGCTCTGGTCCAGGGGGTCACGAAGAGTCGGACACGACTAAACAACTAAACAACAATTGTAAAATTTACACAGCGGCAATGGGCTTTCCCTTAGGGTTTGCTCCCGAAGCCTTTCTCATGAATGAGTACAGCCATGAGGCAGTGGAGGTTTAGGATCAGATTTTTCCTTCTCCTCTAATGCATTTCTTTAAAAAATTGCCATTATATTGGGGTGCCCTGGGATGCATTTTTAAGAAGGGCGAGATGCAACCGTCCGAAGTAAATTAAACAAAGACACATAAGGATTATTAACCACCTCGAGATACATTTTGTTTTGTTTTTAAACAAAGAGCTGTATATAAATAAATAAGAAAGAAAGATGTAGACACGCACAGGGAGATGGATGAGGGTGATGGCAGCTGAGCGCCTGAGAAGACTGCCCTTTCCCTGTCTCCATCTCATAGGCAGAGCTTCACAGCATATTCCCAAACACTCCAACTTCCCAGGGACTGGTGAGGGACCCAACGGGTCTCTGAGCAAGAGAGAAGGCCTATTGGCCATGAGGTTTCGGGTAATAATAATAATAATTTATTATTTATACCCAGCCACTCTGGGCGGCTTCCAACAAAACACTAAAATACAATAACCTATTAAACATTAAAAGCTTCCCTAAGCAGGGCTGCCTTCAGATGTCTTCTAAAAGTTTGGTAGCTGTTTTTCTCTTTGACATCTGGTGGGAGGGCGTTCCACAGGGCGGGCGCCACCACCGAGAAGGCCCTCTGCCTGGTTCCCTGTAAATTGGCTTCTCGCAGCGAGGGAACTGCCAGAAGGCCCTCAGCGCTGGACTTCAGTGTCCGGGTGGGAGGGACGGTTCTCTCATGATCCCCATCTCCCCATGAAACATCCAAACGGATTTTCACGGTGCCCAGGATTCGATCAGGGAACCGGCTTGCATGGGGTGCTGTAAAGAAGGGAAGCCAGAGGACTCTGGCCGCAACAAATTCATTTTACTTTATTTACCAGCATTCATGTGCCACTTAATCACAGACAACCTCGGTTGCTTCAGCTGCTGTTAAGACACCCGGAGCTGCATGTTTGGCGACCACAGGATACTGGGAAACTGAGTCAACAGAGTGGCTGGAATTCTTAACAGAAGAGCTGCATGCTGCAACATTTTGCTGCAGTCCCAGTGGTACCTCTGAATACTCACTGTAGGGGCATGGAGGGAGATCTGGGCAGGGTTATTGCCTCTATGTCTCGCTCAGGAGTTTCCTAGAAGCTGCTGCCTGGCTGCTATAAGCAGCAGAAGGCTGGACCTCAACGGGTCTCTGGCCTGATCCTGGTTTCATAAGGCATCCCAGAGGAGATGCCCCTTCAGATCCCCACCCTCTCCAGCAAAAGGAGGGCTTCTCGCTGCGATGATCTGCAAGCAGTTAAAAGCCTGGCTCCAAGCCAGCCATGAAGGTTAATTCAATGCTCTCCTGTTAATTACTGTGAATTCAATTTGCAGCCGTTGAGCTCAGAGACATCACGGCCGATTGCAGCTATTTATCACTTCCACTTGCTGCTTGTACCTGGGTCTGTGTGCATGCGGGGGGGGGGCAGAGACCCCCCTTCCAACTGCAGCACCCTATGCAGACAGACATTAATAACAGCAGAGTCGGTTCCCCAGTAGCAATGCAGCCTGGCGATGAAAATTTGCTCCCGAGAAAGCCTCAGCCAGAAAGGGGCGCCAGAGGGACAAAAAGCTCCTGGCTCCCATCTGACGGCTCAGCAGAAAGGAAGGCGGTTAATTATTTTGAGCTTGCAACTAATCCTGTAAACTGCAATCGATTAGCCAAAGTGCCTTGGGAAATTAACCTTCCGAGGACAGAGGTCTGCATGGTGCATCTGTCAACAAGCGCAGTTTTTTTAATCTGCTCTTAACGCAGAATTCTTTCTTTGATTACTGGGGTTTTAAGTACGGTTTAGCTTGCATTTTGTTCCTGCATTAGTTATTTATTTATTGCATTTATATCCACCTTTTTCCTCCGAGGAGCTCAAGGTTTAACAGTCCTAGAGCCACAGAACTGTAGAGCTGGAAGGGACCCCCAAGCATCATCTAGTCCAACCCGCTGGTCATAGATCCCAAAGGTGATACGGCAGCCATCTTTGAATATCGGAAGGGCTGTCTCCCACTCCTCATTTTAATCCCCTCATTGTGAGGCAGGTTAGGCTGAGAGGCGCCCAGAGTCACCATGGCCGAGTAGGGATTCAAATCCTGGACTCGCAGGTCCCTAGCCTGCTGCTCTAACCACTACTCCACACTGCTTTGTTGCACATTTTGTAAATATGCCGCCTTAGAGACCCCATGGTGCACAGCTGCGTGTGCATATTTTAAAAGAATGAATAGGCAAATAATCAGAGCATGGAGGCTGAAACATAACGCAGGCCATGCTGGAAAAGGGACAGATCCGTTTCCTAGTTTCAAGCTTAAAATGCAGCTACAGCTACAACCTCCTCCTGCTGCATTTCAGCTTTCTTTCTTAAAAAATCAGTAATGGGAGACTAGCAGTGTGCCTCTAATCAGTCCTTAAGAAACAACCATCCAGCGGGGATTTTAAAAAACCAAGTTTCTAGCCCTCTTGAGTACAGCTGCCCTTACTTTGCTCATCCAAGATTTCCGCTTGCACACAGCCTTCCTCCTCTTGACGGCTTCCCAGAGGCGCCTCTGACCTGTGAAAGCAAAAAGCGAGGGTCAGCCAGTTTGGGGGTGGTGGTGGACTGGTCAGTTCCCGAAGTATCCACACACACCACCCCCAATCCCCATTGCATGCATGTGTCCCACAAGGAAATCATCACCAGACTGGATGTTTCATTGTGGCAGGTAATTCTGTAAAGATTTACCGAATATTGTAGCTGAAACACCCTCTGATCCACCTCGCTCCAAGACACTACAGGACAAAGCACACAGTACAAGCAAACATTTGCAACATGGCCCTGCGAGTTTTTCATAAATGAATACCAGCTAAGTCAGCGTGGGGAAACTTTCCTTTTGAGCAGCGGATCGACTTGGGGGCAGGGGAGAGGTTCTTAGCCTGCCGGTCAGTTTTCCGCTCAAAGCAACCCTGAGGTTCCAGATTTGCAGACACAAATCCAGAACCCTGTTAGAGGGGAGTTAGTGGGGAAAGGGCGAGGGTTCATTTTGAGCAAGAAAATGCCTGGCAGGGACAGGGCTAAGCCCTTCCTTTCCTCCTCTCTTCTCCCACTCAATCTCAGGCTCCCAAGAGAACTGCTTTTCATTTAATTCTTTTTTTTTTAAATAACACCCAACCCACAAAACCTGAAAGTCTTCATTTCACACATCTGTGTGTCACCTATGTTTCGTTCCGTAAAGGTTTGCCCAGCAAATTCCCGGCTAGGCATTCCAAACTGCAGGTGGCTATTTAGTGTTGGGAAGAAATAAAAAGCGACTGGGATCATCGTTCAGGCCTGCCTCTTTCAAAATAAAGGCAATTTTCTTTTCTTTTCATAACCTTGACTCCAAAAGGGGCAATAAGGTGCCATGCATTAGTTTTAAAAATAAGGTAAAGGGACCCCTGACCATTAGGTCCAGTCGTGACCGACTCTGGGGATGTGGCGCTCATCTCGCTTTATTGGCCAAGGGAGCCGGCGTACAGCTTCCGGGTCATGTGGCCAGCAGCACTAAGCCGCTTCTGGCGAACCAGAGCAGTGCACGGAAACACCATTTACCTTCCTGCCGGAGCGGTACCTATTTATCTACGTTCACTTTGACGTGCTTTCAAACTGCTAGGTGGGCAGGAGCAGGGACCGAGCAACGGGAGCTCACCCCATTGTGGGGATTCGAACCGCCGACCTTCTGATCAACAAGTCCTAGGCTCTGTGGTTTAACCCACAGCGCCACCCACGGTCCCTAGTTTTAAAAATACATGGAAATAAAAATTCATAATGCACTTCACATTTATGTGGCGCTTGGACGGTGCAATCCTACACATGGCTGAGTTCTGTGCTACGCAGAGGGCCTTCCAGACATGTTTTTCTTTAATAGAATCACAAAATTGGAGAGTTGGAAGGGACCCCTGAGGGGCATCTAGTCCAGCCCCCAAGAGAGTCTGTTCCACTGTCAAGCGGTTCTTACCGTCAGAAAGTTCTTCCTCCTGTTTAGTTGGAATCTCCATTCTGCAATTTGAATCCCTATGGAGCAGCGGAAAACACGCTTGGCTCCCTCTTCCGTGTGGCAGCCCTTCGGAGATTTGAAGATGATTTATGCTCATGATGGTATCGGGGCGGTTAGACACAACCCTGCTTTCTATGTTTTGCCCTTGTGAAACCCAGCAGGGAGCAGGATAGGTGCAAAACGGGAACTCCACCTGTCATTGCCTCTGGCTCAGCCTATTCTCTGCCTCCACTTCACTAGTTCTATAACCAAACTTCCATAACCTTGGAACTCCCTGCCTATTAATATCAGGCATTAACATTCTATGACTTTTCAAATGTGTCTGTGGGAGGCTGTTTTCTGTTTGTTTGTTTGTTTGTTTGTTTGTTTGTTTTGCTTGTGTTTTATTATGTATTCGGTCTTTCCGTTTTGTATTTTTATGCTGTGAACCGCCCTGTGATTTCCGGCAAATTTAATAAATAATAATAACAATTTGTGGCTGGTTTATAGTGCTGTGCTCTAAACCACCGAGCCTCTTGGGCTTGCCGATCAGAAGAACGGCGGTTTGAATCTGCACGATGGGGTAAGCTCCTGTTGCTCTGTCCCAGCTCCTGCCAACTCAGTAGTTCGAAAGCACACCAGTGCAAGTAGATAAATAGGTATCGCTCCGGCGGGAAGGTAAAATGGCGTTTCCGTGCGCTCTTGTTTCTGTCACGGTGCCCCGTTGCGCCAGAAGCGGTTTAGTCCCGCTGGCCACATGACCCGGAAAGCTGTCTTTGGACAAACACCGGCAACCTTGGCCTGAAAAGTGAGATGATTGCTGCACCTCAAAGTCACCTTTGACTGGACTTAACCGTCCAGGGGTCCTTTACCTTTTTACCTTTACCTCACCTATACCGGATCATCCACACATCTGGTGTGTGGAGGATCATCTAACATCTGGAGGGGGCCTCCTGCACTAGAGAGCAACCAAAATGGGACAGAAAATAAAGCCAGACATTTGTGGTACAAAAAGTCACGGGATTTCCGTAGCAAGTTACGGGGCATGCACTGATTGGCGAGAACCAGTGTGTTTGCCTCGAAACCGTTGAAAGCAGAATTGCAAAGAGAAGTTTAGAGTGATTAGGTATATTTTAATTTAGTTAATTATGTAATAGCTTTATGTTAGAAAATGAATATGGATGTTGAATTTGATGTTTGTAAATTTTCTTTTTTTGGTTTTGCAAATGATAATAATAATAATAACAATAATAATAATAATAGCAGGATTGCATATAACTACGGGATATAACTATGCATATAACTATGGGACGCGGGTGGCGCTGTGGGTTAAAGCCTCAGCGCCTAGGACTTGCCGATCAAAAGGTCGGCGGTTCGAATCCCCGCGACGGGGTGAGCTCCCGTTGCTCGGTCCCAGCACCTGCCAACCTAGCAGTTTGAAAGCACGTCAAAGTGCAAGTAGATAAATAGGGACCGCTTACTAGCGGGAAGGTAAACGGCGTTCCGTGTGCTGCGCTGGCTCGCCAGATGCAGCTTTGTCACGCTGGCCACGTGACCAGGAAGTGTCTTCGGACAGCGCTGGCCTCCGGCCTCTTAAGTGAGATGGGCGCACAACCCTAGAGTCTGTCAAGACTGGCCCGTATGGGCAGGGGTGCCTTTACCTTTTTACCCTGAGACCTTCACAGATTCAGAGATTTGTAGAGTTGGAAGGGACCCCTGGGGTCATACAGCCCAACCCCCTGCAATGCAGGAGTCTCAGCTAAAGCATCCGTGAGCACAAATCGTCATCAACACACAATAAAAAGGACACCCGAATTTGCTCCAAGGCGTCCTCCTTCCCTTTCGCTTCCCATCCCGTGATGCTGCCGGTTGAGTCGGCGTTAAGTGGCGGGGACTCGCTTACCAGGCCTCCCCATGCCAATCTTCTCCAGATCCTCGTTCTTGACATATTCGAAGTGCGAGAGGCGCGTGACGTTGAGGTCGTCGCGGATGCGCAAGAAGTACTGCTGCAGCTGGACCTCAGTTAACAGTTCCAGCAGCCAGTCCGTTCCTTCATCTGCTTGCATGCCACAGCTCAGCTTCTGCAGGGAAACAGAAGGAAGCAAAGTCAGGCAGGCGAGGGTGGGGTCCCGGTTTTAGGAAACAGTCACCCCAACTTCTCCTCGGCTGGGGAGCAGGCAGAGGCCCAGGAAATTTGGAGAGCTAGAATTATGAATTTTGGGTATGTGTGAACCATCAGTCTTTACTATAAAGGCCAAAAAGGAGAGATGTCATATTCAGTACGTAGGTTAAAACTCTAAGGGACGTACGCAAACCTTTTAGAAACCATAGAATCATAGATCCACCGTTTTGACCTCAAAAGCAAAGCAACCTGTTGCTAAACACTTCAAATCCGGGAATTACAGCCTGCCAGGCTTTTCAATAACTGCTACGGCGATGTCAACGGATCTCGCAAAAGGAGAGAACTTTTATGGAAGTACACAATGGGGATTATCTGGGGTGGGGGGCCCCAAGCAGCAAGGAGGTGGCAGAGGGGAGATGTAAATGACCCGAAGACTTTGAAAAGCTGCCTCCAGTTCACTGCTACCGTCAAATTAATTAAACTATAAATAGTTTAGACTGGATTTTGGATAAATGGGCCATCAGCTGCTACTGTAACTGAACCTTGTTGTGTAATACAGTGGTACCTCGGGTTACATACGCTTCAGGTTACAGACTCCGCTAACCCAGAAATAGTACCTCGGGTTAAGAACTTTGCTTCAGGATGAGAACAGAAATCGTGCTCCGGCAGCACGGCGGCAGCAGGAGGCCCCATTAGCTAAAGTGGTGCTTCAGGTTAAGAACAGTTTCAGATTAAGAACGGACGTCCAGAACGAATTAAGTTCTTAACCCAAGGTACCACTGTAATAATAATAATAATAATAATAATAATAATAATTTATTTATATCCCACCCATCTGGCTGGGGAAACCCAGCCACTCTGGGCGGCTTCCAACAGAACACCAAAATACAATAACCTATTAAACATTATGATCTTCCTTCGTGGGGTGTGCGAAGCCACAAATCTGAGCAATGCTTTTTTCATAGGCGAGGGAGGGGGCACTGGGGGTGTTTAAGGGACCAAGCAAGGGGGTGTGTGGCCCCAGAAAGTTTGGGAACCGAGTCCGGTGGCCACAACTCGAGGCATCTTCCTTCGCTGCTTGGTGCATCCACCGCGGGGATCCGAAGGCGATCTGGAAGTTTAAACACCCCTGTTTTTGTGTGCGGAATTTAATCATTTAAACAGAGCGTGGCTTTGTCCAGGGATGGGGGAGAGCTGGGGGGAGGATAAGACCAGAAGCCCCTTATGGGAGGCGTGCAACAAGCCCGCTTACAGTCAAGGTTCCTCGTTCGACTATCTCCCAGTGCTGTCACAAACGGGTCGGACAGAGACCTGGGCCTGGCCTTTCCCAGGGGGCAGCCGAAACCCCATTAGCCCCCCAGCCCCGCTTAATGGACAGTAATAGGTCTCCTGGCCAGCTTCCCAGAGGAACGTGTGGCTCACAGAAAGGCCTTCTGTTCTCTCTCTGAACGATTCCACATTTGCGGCACGGTCCCCGGGAGTCTGCCAGCGGAGTCGGGGGCCGGAAGGAATCCCGGCCAAAAGGAGTCTGGATTTCGCATCACAAGGTGGGAGGAAGAAGAGACCCGCGAGCCGCGCTCGGTGGGAAATGGGGCTGCTTGGGAGTAAGCTGTGGTTTTGGGGGTCTCTCTCTCCGCAGACCGTCTGGAGAAGCGATGGTGGCCGAAAAGGGCAGGCAGGGAAGACGAAGGTGCAGGTAGGATTGTGGAGGTGGAGGAGAGGAAGGATCCACGGAGGAAGCAAAGACAGCGACGTACAGGAACAAGAGCCAGAGCTGTAGAGATGGAAGGGTCCCCCAGGGGACATCTAGTCCAACCCCCTGCAATGCAGGAATCATGGCTGAAAAATCCCTGGCAGGTGGCCAACAGCTTCCCGTAAATGAGTTGACCACCTTCCACGGTAGGCCTTTCCACAACTGAATGGCTCACTGTCAGAAGCCCTTCCGAATGTTGAGTCAGAATCTCTGTTCTTGCAATCTGAATATGTTGATTCAGGTACCACTCTCTGGAGCAGCAGAGAAAACCTTGCTCCGACTTCCATATCACACAGCCCTTCAGAGAATTAAAGATGCTGTGATCTCCAAACACCCCCAGCCCACCATCACACTTCCAGATCTTGTATGCCTCCCCCCCTTTTTTTTGAAGCAGGGTGGTACAATTTCATCCAGAAATGCTATATTTGTGTTACTTTTATTGTTGTTAGCCGCTCTGAGCCCAACTTTGGCTGGGGAGGGCGGGATATAAATAAAATTTGTTATTATTATTACAGTGGTACCTCGGGTTACATACGCTTCAGGTTACAGATGCTTCAGGTTACGGACGCTTCAGAATACAGACTCCGCTAACTCAGAAATAGTACCTCGGGTTAAGAACTTTGCTTCAGGATGAGAACAGAAATTGTGCTCCAGTGGCACGGCAGCAGCAGGAGGCCCCATTAGCTAAAGTGGTGCTTCAGGTTAAGAACAGTTTCAGGTTAAAAACGGACCTCCGGAACAAATTAAGTACTTAATCTGAGGTACCACTGTATTATTATTATTATTATTATTATTATTATTATTATTATTATTATTATTATTATTTAAGAAGGCCCTCAAGACCACCTAGAGAGCACTTTTTGCAAAGGATCAGCTCCACAGGTCCAAATTTTCAGCTTCCACAGCACGTCCCAGTCTTCAAAGCACTTCACAGATTCTCATGATGCAATCATTACAACAACCTTTTAACATAGAACAGTACTTTTATCCCATTACTGAAGATGGACCGAGAGGGAGGGTGGCCTGGGTTAGCCAACGTGGTGCCGTTTCCAGTCAACAGGCTTGCTATCTGCGGTTGATGGGAGATGGAGGGACCACATCCGCTACGCTAGATATACACGCCTATTCACAAATGTCCCACTGAATCCAAATTGCAGCCTAAGGCAACCTAGCAAGTTCATGGCGATAAAGATACTGTATTCCAGATCTATAACCCGATCTCTTAGTCACTAGAGACACTGGCTCACAAATACACTTACATAACACACACATACAAAGATACACATGCTAACATTAACCATCAGCTGCCAAGTTTGCTTGTATTCCTCTTCCCTCCCCATCCCTCTTTCCTTTCATGCCGTGTCTTTTTAGAGCGCGAGCCTCAGGGTAGAGGCTGCTACTCATACAAATACATAAACCACTGTTGGAGCCTTTCCGGCTGAAGAGTAGGAGGAGAAATGCTTTGAATAAACAGCATAAATAAATATAAAAATGATTCTTATTAACTTTTTCGAAAATAAAAGGACCTTTATTTGTCAAATTTACCGTATTTTTCGCTCTATAAGACTTACTCTTTCCCTCCTAAAAAGTAAGGGGAAATGTGTGTGCGTCTTATGGAGCAAATGCAGGCTGCGCAGCTATCCCAGAAGCCAGAACAGCAAGAGGGATTGCTGCTTTCACTGCGCAGGGATCCCTCTTGCTGTTCTGGCTTCTGCGATTTAGAATATTTTTTTTCTTGTTTTCCTCCTCCAAAAACTACGTGCATCTTGTGGTCTGGTGCGTCTTATAGAGCGAAAAATACGGTATATCCTGCCTTTCCCTCCAAGAAACTCAAGGCAGCACACACGGTTTCCCCTCTCCCCCTTACATCCTCACAGCAACCTTGTGAGGTAGACCATTTCTGCACGCTGCCCCCCCCCCCCGACCTCCAAGCTTCCCATGGGGTTTGACGGTGCCCGCTGCTCCTGCCAAACCGACCCCTGAACAAATCAATCGATAAGAAAACCTGCTGGGTTTAGCTTCTTGAAAACAGACAAAAACACGAAGGACTAGTAACTTGAGACCTCCCCAGAAAAGAGTGTTTGCACGTAGAGTTCGAGGAATACCCCATTCCGTGCCCACAACAGCTGGGCTTTCTAAAGCAGCCCAGGGCACACTCTTTGGCACAAACCCTGGCACGCATGCAGAGACGGCTTGTACCTGGGTTCAAGGTGAAGAAAACTGGTCGGAAGCTGCCAGGGACGCTGCAATTCCAGCAAAAGCAGGTGGCGTCTCAAAGTGACAGCGAAGAGTTGCAGGGAGAGGAGGCTCGAATGGGACCCTCTCTTCCTGCCTGTTTCTGCACCCAGCGGTGCCATGCCTTGCTGGCGCCCGGAGGTGACGCCACATCCTGTGGGTTCCGTTGCCCTGCCCAGATTTCAACTCTGCACCATTAAAAGTTTCAGTGTTTGCAGGCGTTTTAAAATGAAAGATTTCTCCGCTTGGAAAACGACAACTGTTCCATATGTCAGTGGCGTAGCGTGGGTTGTCAGCACAAGGCAAGTAATTTGCGACCCCTAACCTGTGGATTTGCGCCCCCTAATCCGTGGATTTGCGCCCCCTAACCCTAACCCCCAGATGTTGCGCCCGGTGCGCCCAGCCCCCCCCCCCGCACCCCCCCGCTACGCCACTGCCATATGTACGGTATATATTGAAATTTAAAAAATTAAAAATATATAATAAATGTTCATCAATGTACCAAGCAAACACATACATAAATATATAAACCACATGTCTGAAGCGGCACAGGAAAACAGCCATGAAGCTATTTTGGCTCCCAAACTGTGACCAAATGTTTTCTCTGCAAAGTCAAAGGAAAATGGAAAAGCCTCCCCATTGTCTTTTCCTTCACAAATCCTGTGTATGAATAGGGTGAGCCTGTGACCTGGCTCAGGAACTAAGTATTTATCCTTACAAAAGACTGGCCAGGCTCCCCAGGGTATCCAATCAAGTAAGCATTAACAGGTAACCTGCCAGACAGGAGATAAACAACGCACTCAGATTTCTGCTGTAGATCGCCTTTTCTGTGAAATAGGCATGATGTATCTGGGGGAGGTGGTCTTGAGCTACGCCCCTTCTGTGATGTAGGTATGATGTTTCTGGGGGTGGTCTAGATCTACAGGGTGGCAATTTCAAAAGTCTTTATAAGGCCTTGTGCGCCATTTTTC